ATAAATTTATTGAACCTACTATTGCATATTATTTACATACTATTGGTGTAAGAATGCATTAATATCAATATGTAATATATTTTTATACATCAATAGTTATTGAGTCTCGTTTCCTGTACCACGAATATCTTGCATGATAAAAAATATAACATTAGTTATTAGTATATTTTCATTTATATAGAAAATGTGGAATAATTTTTTTAAGGAAATGGAATGATATTGTACCTTAATATTTTGATTGATATAGGAATTTTATAATTATTTTTGTTAGAAAAATAGTACCAAACTAAATTTATACATCAATAGTTATTGAGTCTCGTTTCCTATAACACGAATATCTTGCATGATGAAAAATATAACATTAGTTATTAGTATATTTTCATTTATATAGAAAATGTGGAATAATTTTTTTAAGGAAATGGAATGATATTGTACCTTAATATTTCGATTGATATAGGAATTTTACAATTATTTTTACAATGTTTATAGATTCATACTTATAAGTGTTTACATTGTTATTTTTATGAAATTGTCAAGTTACATAATTTATTATGGTATCTGTAAGTAATTAGCATATAACAAAATTTATCGAAACTTTTATTTGATATACTTGCTTTTTGTATCATTGAGTTGTTGCGATAATGTTTGGTTATCATTTGATTTTTTTTTCCCTTATAATTTGACTAAAATATGTGCATAAGGTACATTATTTTTCTTAAACTTTACAACAGATAGAACAATTTTTGCTTCGACTCATCTAACTTTACTTGGAGAGCATATTGAAATAATTTTTTTGTAGTTTTTGTTTCACTATCTTCTTGTTTTTCTTCTTACTCACCATTATAGCTCATTGTAATAAAAATATTTTGATGAGGAAGAGCTTGAGGCGATATTAAATTGTTATAAATTTCAAAATTCATTTTTCCTCAATAATGTGATTTTTTTTATAAGGGGAAAAAAATTACAATTATTGTCGTGATAGAGGTGTTTTGTAAAGTCTTGATTTGTTATTAAAAGTGTTTGTTGTGGACACTTATTTGTATGACATGTATGTATATATGTATTCAACATAAGTTGATAAGAGAACAATACATAATTTCACAATTTTTTTCCTAACAAATATAACTATATTACTAAAGTAATACATGTTAGAAAATTAAAATATCCGATGGTAATATAATATTACAGGTTGACAATGTATGAATACAGTAACATATATAAATTTATATTTATATTTTTTTATATATTTATATAGTAGAAATTGACATATATAAGATATTACAAAAATGATATGTGAAATCTTTTGTAACAATATAATACAGATAACAATGATAAGTTAATTATTTATAATTAAATAGTTGGTCAAAATGTAGATGTTTAGTGTTACATTTTTGTGTGTATGCACCATTTTTAATTAGATTATTAAATTCACATAAAAATTGAAAAAAATTTGTGAATAATTTGTGTAAAATTAGAGATTATTGAAGAAGATTTTAAAAAGAGAAGTTTATAGTGTTTGGTTTGATTTGTTTTTTTCAAATATTTGTTTTGAATTTTTTTGGTTTTTTTTGTTTTCTTTTTGTTTTTGACATTGTTTTTTTAATAACCCTTTTATTTTCTTTTTAGATTCACTTAATTTAATACTGTTTTATTTTATAATTTTACTTTTAGATTTAGATTCACTTAATCTAAACACACTTAAAAAATAATTTGTTGTGTATTCATTTTGAAAAAAAAAAAATATTAAAAATTAAATAATAATAATAACAACAAAAATATATAATAATAAAAAATACATATTTGAATTTATAAATTTCTTTTGCCAATATTTTACTTTTTAATTATATTTAGATTATTAGATATTAGATTTTCATGTAAAAGTATAATTTAAATATAAAATACGAAGAAATTCTAACATCTTTAATTTTCAAAACTGAGAAAAATATAAAAAAATTTAAAATTTAAAATAAAAATTAAAAAATAAAACCAACGAAAGTAATTCTTGTTTAAAATTTTGACATTATACCTTGATTATTAAAGTATCATATAAAATATTATAGTTTAGAAAACATAATTTAAACAAAAAGAAAGTAAATGAAGAAAATCTGAGAAATTTTGAGATATAGTACAAATTTCTGTGTTAAAAACGAATGCATATAACTTTAAGATTTAATCAAAATTATTTATAAATATTATGTATATCAATATAGAAGCAGACATAGAAAATAAGAAAGGCTAATTATTTTTTATTTTTCAATCACCATCAATGTAAAAAATAAATATACGGTTTCTTTTTTTTTTTTCTTTTTTGATAAGAAGGAAGACGGTTTATATATATTTATATAGGACTCTTGAAAGCATATATATCAATTTTGATTGTTTAACTCCAAAAATAAAGAAATAGTTAGTTTATAGAAGACTCTTCATGACTTTTAGAAAATATAGTAGATTTGAGAGGATAAAATTGAGATTTAAAAAAAGTAGAAAACATGAGAGACTCTTCACACTTTTACAATTATAATAATAATAATAATAATAGTAGTAGTAGATAGTAGATAGATAGATGATGATGGATTTCACAAATTTTTTTTTAAATAAATATATTAGCTTTTACATATATATACATAATTTTTATTGTATTAATACACTTATAAGGTCAAATAAGTAGAGATGGATTCACTTTATTTGGTTTAATTTTTAAAAATTATTTTTGAATTTTTTTTGCTTTTAGTCAAACTTTTTGGTGATCAATTTTTTTTGTTGGTATTTCTAAACTAGATGCACTTAAAGAATAAAATATTTATCAAAAAATTTATTTTGTTTTACCAAATACAAAAAAATATTTTATTTTTTAAGTGCATCATGGATCTGGAATGTAAAAATAATTGATTAAAATATAAAACAAATCACTAAAGATAATAAAATATAAAAAATAAAAAACTTAAAAACCGTTTTCGAATTTCATAACCAAGCAGGGCGATTGTTTTCAGTTTTTGAAATAACTCAATGGGTCCAATTTGCGTTTGTGGATTCACTAAAAGCCCACTTTGATAATGTATTGTTTAAATTTTGTAAAAAAAAAATTTTTAAAAAAAGATTATTCATGAAAAAAATTTAGATTGATTTAGCAATCATATTTATCATATACTCACAAAATTTTTATCATATTTGTTCCAAAAAAAAATCATTTTAAAAATCATGTTTGTAAATTTTTTTTTGAAAAATAAATATAATAAAAATATAATTACAAATATCAAAATCAATTTAATTTTTTTTTCTCTCACAAATAAGGACTAGTCAATCCACTATACAAACTAGGCACAATCAGTCATCCTCCTATCAAAATGGCACACTATCTAATTCATTATAATCTCAATTGGCCATTGTTATACTTCTTCTTTTTTTTTTTCTATTTTTTTTTTTTTACCATTCTATTTAACTTGTCACCTGTGTGATTAATTTATTGTTTGCTTCACAAGACATTGCTCCACAGCAATTTCTTGGCATTTCACAAAATATCAACACAATAATAGATAATTTTGTGACAATGGTTCTCAAAGCACCTAATAACTTATCCTATACGAGGGCAGAGCTATATTATGAAAAAGAAAAATGTTTACACCCCTAAAATAAGGAAAATATTTAGTGGCCCGAATTTTTGTAGCTTAAATGGTTCAAATGTGTCAAAACGACATCGTTTTACACCTAAAATGACATCGTTTTGGATGTTTCGAGCCATTCGAGTCATGATTTTTCGGGCCATCAATCAGTGTTGCTAAAATAATATCATCATCAAATTTGCTAGCACAAGGCTGGTCAAACCTCTCATATTTCAATAATGTCCGAATTACCACAATTCTATATCATATTATTCTTACTATTTTACTTATAATATCGGAATAATGGTCGCACCATTAATGTAAATGTCCAAGACAGTACTGGCAACTAAACTGAGACATCCAAAGATTAAGAAGAAAAAGAAATACATTGAAAAAGAAACGTGATATATATAGACGGTAAATGTAATATTATTCCTCTTTTACTCTGCAAGTAAACCCTTCTGACAAGCTTTCCTAAATTTGAGTACTAAGCTTTGAAAAACATGCTTCAATAGTCATATATCACAATGAGGACAGTTTATTCAGAAAATAAGGTGAGTTTAGGCATAAGATTGAGAAAGGCTGTGTTCAGTGTAGTAACCAGGAGGCCTGCCCTGAGGGCAGGCCAAAGAGGCCCGTGCCTTGGGCCTTTAGATTTGGGCTGAAAATAGGGCCCCAAAAAATGATTTTTTGTTCTAGATATAAAAAAGAAATTCAAATATTAAAAGCCCAATTGAACATAAGGCCAAAAAAAAACATATCAGATTTGAGGCCCAATGAACATGGGCCCAAAAACGTGAAACACATCATGATATACCCACAGAATGAATTCACATCATGATATATCAAGTTTGAGGCCCAATGAACATCATGATATACCCACAGAATGAATTCACAAGGGTCTTGCTTGCATATTTGACGAAACACATAAACAGCACCTGAGATTCTGAGAAGAATGAAACACATCACTGTCTCCTCCATATTTGACGAAACCGTGAGTCTTGCATTGGACTGATGAAGATGAAACCGTGAGTGAGTCTTCAGTCTTCTCCTCTCCTCCATATTTGATGGACGCTGAGCATTAACGATTTTGGGCATCAAAACCGTGAGTCTCTCTCTCTCTCTCTCTCTCTCTATATATATATATGTATGTATATATCACATTTAAATGGAGGAAGTTTTTGCCCTAATTTTTTTCCTAATTTGTTGCCCTAATTTTTCCCCTAATTTTCCTATTAATTTCTTGCTCTATATAATTTGTTCTTTAAATTAGAAAATTACCTAATTTATGTGCTTTTGTGAAAGTCTATAATTTTTATTGTGTTCTAATTCTGAAAGTATATTATTTGCAGAGATCAGCAATTGTGAATTTGTGTGGATTTATGATTATATAGAGTAGTCATGCCTCACAGGAAATATATTTTTGGATGTGAAAAAAGGAAAAAGAAGCAAAAATTAGAAAATTTTATTCAATCTCAATCGGGAGCGCTTGATAAATTTTTTGGTAGCAAGAAACAAATAGAAAGTTCATGTTTGGTTGATGAAGATTTGGTAATTGAAGAACTTAATCAATGTAATGAGAATGATAATGAAGATTTGGGTGTTGAAGAGCCTATTGAATATTTGAATGAGAATGACAATGAAGATTTGGTGAATGAGAAAGCCACTGAAATTGAAGATTTTAATGTTGAATATGGACCTTCAAATATTGATGACCCAAGTAATTGGGACAAGATTGATCAAAATTTTAGAGATTTATTAGTTGAAAGAGGTCCTATAAGAAGTAATGTTGTCAATTTTCCTAGAGATGATAAGGATAGACGTTTCTCCTCTACATATTACATTCGAAATTTATCAAATGGAGAGAAGCAAGATATGAAATGGCTAGTATATTCAGATGCTTCAAACAAAGTATTTTGCTTTTGTTGTAAGTTGTTTAAGGAAGATGGGAACAAGACTCAGTTGGCTACTAATGGATTTAAAGATTGGAAGAATCTAGGTCACAGGCTTAGAAGTCATGAAACTAGCAATGAGCACATGACTTGTATGAGCAAATGGATCGAATTGGAAAAAAGATTGCAAAAGAATGAAACAATTGATAAAGGTGTTCAAGAACAAATCAATAGGGAGAGAGAACATTGGAGAAAGGTATTACTAAGGATAATTGCTGCTGTGAGAACTCTTGCTAAAAATAATTTAGCGTTTCGTGGAGACAATGAGAAGATTTATCAAGAAAGAAATGAAAACTTTTTGAGTTTAATTGAAATGATTGCTTAATTTGATTTGGTAATGCAAGACCACCTTCATTGCATTGAAAGGAATGAAATTCATTACTATTATCTTGGTCACAAAATCCAAAATGAATTGATATAGATGTTAGCGGGTGAGATCAAAAGTACAATTGTGAAAAGAATCAAAGAAGTGAAATATTTTTCAGTTATTCTTGATTGTACTCCAGATGTTAGTCATGAAGAACAAATGTCTCTTGTAATAAGATGTGTGGATGTTTCAACTAATCAAGTAAAGGTGGAAGAGTTCTTTTTAGAATTTTTAAAAGTGGATGACACATCCGGATTGGGTCTTTTTAATGTACTTAAAGAGGTATTGTGCACACTCCAACTTGATATTGGTGATATAAGAGGGCAATGATATGATAATGGCTCTAATATGAAAGGGAAACACAAAGGTGTACATAAAGGCTACTTGAAATAAATCCTAGAGCATTCTACACACCATGTGGTTGTCATAGTCTTAACCTTGTACTTTGTGATATGGCTAACTCTTGTCCCAAAGCTATCTCTTTTTTTGGAGTGTTACAACGTATATATTTATTGTTTTCATCTTCTACAAAGCGGTGGAAAGTTTTCAAAGATTATGTGGTAGGTCTCACATTGAAGCCATTGTCACAAACAAGGTGGGAAAGTCACGTTGAAAGTGTTAAAGCAATAAGATATCAAGCTCCACAAATAAGAGATGCTTTAAATCATTTGGAAAATCTTGGTGAACCCCACAATACAAAGAGTGAAGCTGAGTCTTTAGTAACATATGAAATTGAGAACTTTGAATTTTTGCCTGGCATGATTATTTGGCACAATTTATTGTTTGCAGTTAACTCAGTTAGCAAAATATTTCAAAGGGAAGACATGCATATTGATGTTGCTATAATTCAGTTAAAAGAACTCATTACCTTTCTTGAAAAGTATAGACAAATTGGATTTTTGGATGCCATGATTGAGGCAAAAGAAGTTGCTACTCTAATGGAAATTGATCCAGTATTTTGTGAAAAGCATGTCATTCGCAGAAAGAAGCAATTTGATGAGAATGTTAGTGAAGAGGTGACACAGACTGCTGAAGAATCTTTTAGAGTTAATTACTTTATGTATATAATTGATCAAGCTCTTTCTTCACTTAAGAGTAGGTTTGAACAATTTCAAGTATATGAGGAAAATTATGGATTTTTGTTTGATTTGAAAAAGTTGAGTTCTACCAACAAGGAATGTTTGAAGACTTATTGTGTTAATCTTGAAGATTTTCTAAAACACGATGAACTTTCTGATATTGATGGGAGAGATCTATTTTCAGAGTTGAATGTCTTGAAAGAAGTTTTACCGGAAGGAATCAAAAGGCCAATTGAAGTATTAAATTATTTGAAAACAATGGATGGTTGTTTCCCAAATGCATGGATTGTGTATAGAATTTTGTTAACTATACCTGTTACAGTGGCCTCTGGAGAAAGAAGTTTTTCAAAGTTGAAGTTAATCAAATCTTACCTTCGGTCAACTATGTCACAAGAAAGATTGAATGGG